ACAACCAGAGCAACCAATCTTTTAGGTACATGGAACGTTCGTACATTGTGGGAGACTGGAAGACTATTCCAAGTTGCTGCAGAAATGAAAAGATACAACCTCGAGGTGTTTGGAATCAGTGAAACACATTGGACACAAGTAGGACAACTGAGACTAGCTTCAGGGGAACTGCTGTTATACTCTGGTCATGAAGAGGAAAATGCTTCACATACACAAGGAGTTGCACTGATGCTGTCCAAACATGCACAAAAGGCACTGATAGGATAGGAATCTCACGGACCGAGGATCATTAAAGCATCCTTCAAAATAAAGAAAGAGGACATTACAATGAACGTCATCCAATGTTATGCACCTACCAATGACTACAATGACGACGTTAAAGATCAATTCTACGAAAGGCTGCAGTCAATCGTCGATAAATGCTCACCAAAGCATTTGACGATTCTTATGGGAGACCTGAATGCCAAGGTTGGAATGGACAACACTGGATATGAAGACATCATGGGACGACATGGACTGGGAGAAAGAAACGAAAACGGTGAGAGATTTGCAAACCTATGTGCCTCCAACAAACTGGTCATCGGTGGCACAATATTCCCGCACAAACGCATACACAAATCTACATGGATTTCACCGGATCACACTACTCAAAACCAGATTGATCATATCTGTATCAACAAAACGTTCAGAAGGACTATGGAGGATGTGAGAACCAGGAGAGGAGCTGATATAGCCTCAGATCACCATTTGCTAATCGCCAAAATGAAACTGAAACTAAAGAAGCACTGGACAACGGGACAGACAACATCACACAAGTTTAATACGGCCTTTCTTCGGGATACTGTAAAGCTCAACGAATTCAGGGTAGCCCTCATCAATAGGTTCCAGGCCTTTCAGGATCTACACAATGGATAGGACGCAACATTGGATAACAATTGGAAAGGGATTAAGGAGGCAATCACTTCAACATGTCACGAAGTTCTGGGTCACAGGAAGTACCATCAAAAGGAATGTATCTCTGTTGATACTCTCGCAAAAATTGAAGAAAGGAGGAACAAGAAGGCAGCAATCAATGTCAGCCGAACAAGAGCAGAGAAAGTTACCGCACAAGCTGCATACACAGAAGCAAACAGGGAAGTGAAAAAGAGCATCAGAGCTGACAAACGAAAATATGTGGAAGATCTAGCAATGACGGCGGAAATGGCTGCAAGAGAAGGAAACTTGAGACAATTGTACGAAACTACAAAGAAGCTCGCCGGGAACTATCGTAAACCAGAACGACCAGTGAAAAACAAGGAAGGCAAAGTAATCAGCAACACTGAACAACAGCGAAATAGGTGGGTAGAAGCTTTAAGGAACTATTGAATCGACCAGCTCCACTGAACACACCCAACATCGAAGCAGCATCCACGGATCTCCCAATTAATATTGGCGCACCTACGATTGAGGAGATCAGTATGGCCATCAGACAAATCAAGAACGGCAAAGCAGCAGGACCAGACAACATTCCAGCAGAGGCAATGAAAGCAGATGTGGAAGCAACTGCGAAAATATTTCACATCCTCTTCAAGAAGATTTGGGATGAGGAACAAGTACCATCAGATTGGAAAGAAGGATACCTGATCAAAATACCAAAGAAAGGCGATCTCAGCAAGTGTGTGAACTACAAAGACATCACTCTTCCTTCAATACCAGGCAAAGTCTTCAACAGGGTATTGTTAAACAGAATGAAGGACTTCGTAGACGCCCAACTTCGAGATCAACAGGCCGGATTTCGTAAGGATCGATCGTGTACTGACCAAATTGCTACATTACGGATCATTGTGGAACAATCAATTGAATGGAACTCACCACTCTACATCAGCTTCATCGACTACGAGAAAGCATTCGATAGCGTGGATAGGAAAACACTGTGGAGGCTTCTTCGACACTACGGGGTGCCTGAGAAAATAGTTAACATCATACGGAACTCTTATGATGGATTCAACTGCAAAATCGTGCACGGAGGTCAGCTGACAGACTCGTTCGAAGTGAAGACCGGTGTCAGGCAAGGTTGCTTACTCTCACCCTTTCTCTTTCTCCTGGTGATCAACTGGATTATGAAAACGTCAACATCTGGAGGGAAGCACGGTATCAACTGGACAGTTGCGACGCAGCTGGACGATCTGGACTTCGCAGATGACTTGGTTCTTTCATCGCACACTCAACAACAAATGCAGGAGAAGACGACCAGTGTAGCAGCAGCCTCTGCAGCAGTAGGTCTCAACATACATAAAGGAAGAAGCAAAATTCTCCGATGCAACACAACATGCACCAACCAAATCACTCTGGATGGAGATGCCTTGGAGGACGTTAACACTTTTACATATCTGGGCAGCATCATCGACGAGAAAGGTGGATCGGATGCAGATGTGAGGGCACGGATTGGCAAAGCAAGGGCTGCATTTCTACAGTTGAAAAATATCTGCAACTCCAAACAACTTTCAACCAAAACCAGAATCAGGATATTCAATACAAATGTCAAGACAGTTCTACTGTGTGGAGCGGAAACTTGGAGAACTACCAAAGCCATCATCCAGATGATACAAGTGTTTATTAACAGCTGTCTACGCAAAATACTTCGGATTTGTTGGCCAGACACCATCAGCAACAACGAACTGTGGGGGAGAACAAACCAGATTCCAGTGGAGGAGGAAATCAGGAAGAAGCGGTGGAAGTGGATAGGACACACACTACGAAAAGCACCGAACTGCGTCACGAGGCAAGCCCTCACATGGAACCCTCAAGGCAAAAGGAGAAGAGGAAGGCCAAAGAATACATTACGCCGAGAAATAGAGGAAGATATGAGAGGAATGAACAAAAATTGGACAGAACTGGAGAGGGAAGCCCAGGACGGAGTTGGTTGGAGAAAACTGGTGAGCGGCCTATGCTCCATTGGGGGTAACAGGCGTATTTAAGTAAGTAAGTGGAGCAGAACATTTTGTTTTCTTACTGCTCCTTACAATAAAGCAATATGTAACTAGTCAATGATATTGATGTTACTTTTCGATGTCAACCGCGTCTACGATTCATGTTTATGATCTTGAACTGGTTTCAATTATGTTGACAAAAATACTCACTAGTGAATTCTTTAGCTACAGGGGTGATTTGTGCATTTCTGCGGAAGATGAAAACAGCGTGGAGGGAATCTGGGACATTTGGCACCGGCAAGACAAAATGCCAATATCTGGAAACCCAAGAAATTTATGCCTCATCCCTTTCAAGGTCTAGAAGATTGTATGAAGAGATGCTAATAAAAGAGTCCATAGAATACACAAAATACCTATACTCATATATCAACCAACGGATCGAGTGAAAAGACAACATACCAGCATTATGAGGAGACGATTATGATAAAGCTCAGGTATTCTGGAACTATGTGATCTACGTAAGTGTCATGGAGATGCTTCTCCCACTGATTTATATGAACCCCGACATACACATTTTCGACACTGACCATTAAGGAACCTGATGTGTTCAAGCTGTTTAATAAGCTTGATTCAGAAGAACATATGTTACCCGACAAAATGCATCCTAGATTACTTAATGAATTAGTAAATTTTATCGCAAATCCCTTTAGCATGTGTTTTAATCTCCTTGACAGAGATTCCCTTTGTTAGAGCGTTATTCAAATAGCATGGTTACATGCTAGTCTAGATATTGTTCAGTGGCAGTCAACTAAATGGCAGATGATCAGGATGACATATTTGTCATTGATAAAAGCGGTTCATCATTGTAATTATCCTATTAATACTTGTTAATTTTGCATAGAAATGACAAGCAACTAGATATTACTTATGATTTTACTGATTTGGAGGAGGAATCTCTTACTACCAGCTCCCAAAACTTTCGAAGCCGGAAACCTGTCTATGGGAAACGTTATCACGAGGCGGACTTTGTTAATAAATTCAGGCCTGGGAGAATATCGTTGGTCTACCTGTCTATTTTTTTTATGTCTTATACATTTTAGTCGAGAACTGCGTAAGGCACTTAATCTGAGTAGTCATGATATCCCAGTTCACATTTATCGTATGAGAACATTGGGTTATCCTCCTGGTTGGCTAAAAAAGGCTGCTATTGGCGGAAGCTTACAAATTTTCGATTCAGACAATTTGGACAGCGTGACATCTGAACGTGAGTTTCTCCTTTAAATTCTTCTGTGCTCATAAGAAACAGCGGTTTGTATTTCAGACTGTTTCGAATAACTGCCAGAAACTGGGCTTACTTTGTTTGTTTGTCGAGTTAGGTTTCCTGTCTAAAGTTTAGCATCAACTTTTAAAACTGCTCTTGGTATGTCAAAGTTTTTAACTAGATCGTAATGCTTGTCATCTCAAAATGCATAATAAAGTATCATAACAGTTGAACACGTATTTTTTACGTATTTCAGTAAATAACGTATAAGCCTTCATCGTTTTTCAATCCTGCATGGGTTTTACAAACTCAGCACTTTCTTACAGTCGAATTAGTGCACTTCATGGATCTTCTGCGTTCGTCCTTATTCAATTCGTGTAGTTCGTTATTTTTCGGAAGACTTTTTTTTCTGGTAAACTTGATCTCGTGTACACGACACACTATTGTTTTTCAAAATCTGACGTTTCTGGTTTATAGGATTTTAGGATGGTATTTTCCGAAATTTCTTTGGGTGTTTACATGTCACTGTACAAGCTTTCAGAAAAGAAACTACTATTCCCTGTAGCTAGCCGTGCAGAGAAACCGAGTCAGTCAGTCAGTTATAACGTGGGACTTCGTACATGCGTACATCATTTCAAGTTATCATACCACATTAACTCAAAACCCATTCGTCACTTCAAATCCCATAGTAGTAAAAGTAGTAGAGGAATTATCAGTGATCAAAAGAAACTAATAGTCGGATATATTCGAGATGTAAACACTGAAGGGATCAGCTAATAGAGAGAAAAACAGTCATGAGTTATTCAGAAAATTAGGATTCAAGAGAACATAAATTATGGATATACCTGCGTCAATCGCAGACGGTTTTGAGCCATTTAGTTCAAGGTCTCTAACCATTGGTTACAATCGTCTCGCGGATCATCGGTTCAATCTCCTGAATTGAGAAGAGTATTAGTCCCATCCTTTCTCCGGATAGTCCCCAATACAGTCAGATTCCTAGTGCCGGTTTCCTTGATAAGTTTGAATAGTTTTCTGCTGTTGCCTATTGTCACTGCCTTCTCTATCTCTCTTGCTTTCGCTACTTGCCATTGTTCGCGTAGGCTTCTTGTCAGCCAGCGCCTAAGCTGACTCCGCTTCTCATCGTACTCAGAGCCAGACGCGATGTTTTCGAGCATCCATCAGTTCAGTAGATGCTACTGAAATCCACCGCTTCAATCTAACTTTGTGGTTTGCCTTACTAGCAGATATCACTACTGTTTCCACAGCTTTCTAGATATCATTCCAAGCTGCTTCGGGATGGGAATCACTAACATGGCCGCCTAACTGTTTACCTGGTTTTTCTTGAAATATATTCTTGGCTATGTTATCATTCAGTAGAACCCTAAGAGGTTATCTTGCGGTGTCTTTCCTACGTCTAGTAAGCCTCAAACAAAGTCGCGCTCGCACTATAGAGTGGTCTGAATCTAAACAAGTGCTCCAGAATTAGCAGCACTCTTCAATAAAGCCCCTCCATCGATGGCTTATGGCGATGTGATTTAGTTGGGTCGGCTTTGAGTGTCTCCGGGTCAAAAGATGTTTTACCTTACGCCTAAAGTTAGTGTTTGCTATAAATAGGTTGTCTGAGCATAGTTGTTGTAGACGGTCGCCATTATCTGTTCTTTGGATCACGACACCATAAGATCCACCCAGGTGTCTTTCATTTTGACCTATTCTGCTTACTTGAGCATTGAAGTGACCAGCCATTGTTACTATATCAGAGCGCTTAACTTTTTGAAGAAGTTTTGAGAAGTTTCTGTAAAACTTCGTTTATTTCGTCTGAACTGCAGTCAGTGGATATAGATTTCAAAGTGATGTGTATCTTGGCTTATCTTACATATAATTCTTTCATTAAACTGTTACTGTGTACTTTTATGGTACTATCTTCAAAGTTCCATGTATTTTTTGTACAGGCAAAGTGTCGTATAACAGAAGCGCTCTTATAGGTTATCCTGGATTCAATGTCGAATTGGACCGCTCAGTTAGGGATGATTACTTATTTTTAAAATGTCCCCCGATGCAAAAATATCATATGCTGGATAACTTTTATGCTTCTTTATCGGGCGAATCGTCTGAGAAATCCAGTATTACAAGCGCAAACGGCAACCCTTCACGTAAGTTTTTGCCAATTTATGTATACAAATGTGGTACCTCTTTCCAGCATACTGATACTACAAAAATATTTATTTGTTAGCTATCATAAGATATAACAAAAACACAAGTAACACAATTCACACCAAGCTGTTGACTAGGTATGTTGTAAATGAGGAGGAGAAACCTGGAAATATGAATGCCTCACATCATATGCTGCTGCCCCCTTTTCAGTCAGTCAGCTACAACGTGGAACTCTGTACGTACTTGCATTAGTTCCTGTTGCCATACAACAGTAGCACAGAGATCGAATCGTTAATTAAAATCCTATGGTAGTAGAGGTAGTAGAAGTATAAGCAGTATTCGGAAAGATTGATGTTCGAATACATTATTCAAGAACTGTAAGCCAGTGAGATGAACTTAAAAAGAGAAAGATGAAGGTGATGAGGAATTCAGAAGATTAGAACTTAAGAGAACACGAAGAATGGATGCACCTGCGTCATCACAAACCAGTCATTCAAAGTCTCTAACCATCGGTTACTATCATCTCGCAGAACCCAACCAGGTGGTTTATATCTACCAACATCGCTCAGTCAAGTTGTCGGTGACTTTATGGATTTGTACCACGTTTTGGTTTGGTCGCCCCTAGCTTTCTTCCAGTCTACCCCTACATCAAACAACATCGCTCGTCGAGGCAGTCTGCGACTGGGCATTCGTAACACATGTCCCTACCACCTCAACTGATGAAGTTTCAATACTTCATCGATTGGTCTGCCATGCTTAAGTGGAACCCGTTTCCTAACAACAGTATTGCTTACTCGATTGTCCCAGGATATACGAATAATGCCTCTAAGGAACTGATGATCGGATACTGGTACCCTACTAATATCCCTTATTCTTAATGATCATGTTTAATACCCATAGAGTAGGACAACTCCGCTTGTAGACCCCCAGGACTACTGCCTCTCCGAAGCCTGGATTAAGAAGGTGGGTTGGGTGTGAGGTTGGCGACCCCGTCCTTTGGAAAACTGACTCGTTGAACAATGCCAACAAGAAGAAATTATTCAGGCCACTTAAAGTCTGCTATGGGAGTCCGAAGATATTCACTTGGAAGAGTTGTGTCTCATGATGAAGGCCGAGTCCCTTCGGAGGTCACGAGGCCGATGCCCATTCTGACAATCAGAGACGTTCAACGGTGTAGGCAGTGAGGAAGTAACATCCTATCTTACCCATAAAAGCACACTAGACCGAATCGGTCAGAATCAAATCTTTTCTACACCTAATAACTCTCTTATCTCCACTATCAGCCCTTCGTTCATTCCTGTGTCGCCTAGCGCCGCTGAAGCAAATGGTTTAAGCTCACGAAAAATTACTCCTGGTCCCCTTAAACCTCACCCTAAACTACATATTGGAGCTTTTAATGTTCGAACCTTGTGCTAAATAGGGCAACTGGCTTCATCCCAGGCGATCGGTGTATGTCGCGTCTCTAAAACGCGCATATAAGATCTGAGTAAAAGCATCAGTTTGATTTCACCTTGTCCAGATAGTGAAACAGGGTTCACGCTTCGTGTTTCTGGAAGCTCTGATGCTGCTTCCCAGTCACTGTTACTATGCCAGGACTCTTTTTGAAGGAGTTTGGAGAGCTTTCTGTAAAATTCATCTTTCACCGTTTCCGAGCTGCAATCAGTGGGAGCGTAGGCAGAGATGACAAAGAGGTAACGACGAGTTTCTGTATCTTTACGCTCTCTTTCTGTCCCGTTTAGTCGGACAAAGCTTAAGTGAGTCTACCGGAATCCAGTCTAAGAGAGCTGGTTCTACCCTAAGACTTAATGCTAGACGTACATCAGCGAGGCATTGGAAAGCAACAGTTCTGTTTCAAGATACACGGAGAGTAAATCGAGTTGGTGAAGTTAGATGAATGATTCTACTCCGATCTGTTGATGGGCATACATCAATGGCGTGGGATTCTAAAGTCGTTGCTTAGGAAGCGTGTTGTCAACTGGCGGCATCGCTGTTGGTGCTGGTTACCCGAGGATAACTCCTTTCTAATGTCATACTTATCTACAGTCATCAGCACTTCGCCCTCAGACCTTATGTTACTGCTTATAGTCTGAACGTTCTCCAGTCGACTTCCATGGCATTGTAAGACCTAAAGGAACATATGTACGAACCAATGTAGCTCGGTTGGGTCATCACAATAGGCAAAACCTGACTAGGTCAAGGTTGCAGCTACGGTCAGGTGATATTTATCCACGCATACTCTCTTTCTTTAATTGTTTTGTATGTATATCATCTTTTTCTGTTTCTTTTGCTTAACAGCCTGTAGTATAAAGAAAACAGTGGAAACTGCAATAACCATTTCCGATTCAGAGTCTGGTGAAACAAATTCAACCAGCTCACAAATGGAAGATACTCCAGATGAAGTTGAAGTACTTCGTCCAAATCCAGATTTTTTGATAGTCCATGCGGCTGAACAGGGGACGCCTACACCAATTTGTCCTCTGACTGTTACAAATGATTTCCCTAATGAAAATACTGATCACTCTTCATTTTTATCATCACAAGCACTTAAACGTCCTTCTTTAGAAGCTTTCAGTATGGGTATACAACCGTATAGGCCATTTGAAAATCTTCCTGGTGTACATGGTGGATATCAGCGTGTCCTCAAGTCACTAAAAAATTCACGTGAGTCATTAGCCTCTCATAGCAATCCATCAGATTCAAAAAATTTACGGGATAATGATTTTCAGTCACCATCAGCTCGACTGAATCGTCATAATGGCATTCAGTCTCCTCATAAACGAAGTCGATATTAAAAGAATACTTTCCATTTACTTTTGAGTCTAAAAATTAAAAAATGTATATATGTGTAAATTGTTCTATTCACATTTTGACAGTATTCATTTTAAATGTGTATTTTTACTGATATATTTGACTTTGATTTTATTTTTTTTCCTGTAAATAAACAAATTCAATTACGTATTGTCAATATCTGTGTCATGCATGTCAGTTTTTATTAAATATTTGAATATCATTTTTCAGTCTTCTATTTTGTGTATTTATCATTAAAATTTAAATATGACTGGTGTTATCAATAATGTACATACTTTTTCTAGAAAGAAGAATCAAGAGCTCAGTTACCTGGATAATTTGTCAGGAATCACTGTTTTTACACATGAGTTTCGACCCGTTGGTGCATGTATACACCTATTTCGGAGAATTAAAAAGTTTTTATTTTTTATATACATTGAATTCGTCTCTCAGAGTTCTCCGTATTTGTGCTATTGTTCTAAAGAATAATCCACCTAGAAACTTATGTAATAATATGTTACCTTCTTGAAGTTTATATATAATTGTGTTAAATAGTGGATTGTTGCTTAAGACACTAAACATTGAGTTAAAGATTCATATAATGCAGTTTAGTTATTAGAGTAATCTCATTAGATGTCGCATACATCTTTATCTTAAAGTTGATTACGAATCTGTTATTGGTTAAAATGCTTAAAAAATGTAATTAAACCCTTGAATTCTCAATTAGCTTTTTCGTGATTTAAGATTTATTGGTTATGGTATACGCGATCATTGGTTGACGTGCTTCCTAATCGATATCAGTGGGACGGATTGATTTATACCTAATCTTCATCTTCAGTAATACTATCATCCTCTTTGACTTAAACAGCGTTTGAATTATGATTCATTAACTCTTTCAACCATTACATTCAGGAATGTATTTACATCGTTCTTCAGTAGTCACTTGGCCTAACTACTTTTGTTTATTTATAGGACTCCATAACTTTTAATGAGCCTGTATGCTTAAGTATGTTTGTTGAACGCATGTTGGTGCAATTGTTCTCTAAATATACAAAGCTCAGTTTAACTATGAAAGAGATTTCTACTGAGTGATCCTTTTCCTAGGTTATTTGTCATGCAGTAGAGTATTGAATAATTTGTAATTATCGATTGATAGTAGGCTTTTGGGACGATAAGAAACTTGAAACCCCTATTATATAGATAAGAAACTAGGTTATAGTATTTTGTGATTATAAAAGCAGTTCATCTGACCATCTTAAGTGTTACTATTCTTAATAATAGATGCTATTCAACGGAAGTAAGGATGATTTGGTTTTTCAAAGCCATCTAAAGGTAATGACTAAGGAGTTTAGGTCTTTGTGACATTTCCATGTCATTTTTATGTATTGAGTTTGTGGTTACAATAAGTGAGAATACATTTCAGTATGGGGAAATCAGTAAATGGTCATGGGTTATCAAGTCATCATTCGTCTGAGTAATGTATGTGGTTGTTGCATTGGTGTAGTAGTAAAAATCTGTAAAGGGGAACTCTCAGTAATGTAACTAAACAGAAAGAAAGGAAGGTGTAAATGTTTACGCTTTTTTGTGTCTTCCATTTTTTAACATTAAGTAATTACCCATGGAAGCATAAAAACAAGTTGAATTTCTTAGGCTTACAGCCCGAATATTTCGCTTCTAACTAATAATTACTACGCTACACGTCGGAAACCAAGATATAAATTATGTGCTAAAAGCATTAACTATCCTAGTTTTTCAATTTGGTTGCTATCCATTTCTTTAATAAACGTAGGATATCGATGGTTATGAAACATGTAGTCTCTATAGCTGGAAACTAGTAGTTGTAACCATTTGTGTATTCATTTGGTCGGTTTTTAATTGTGTAAAGTGTTCAAAATATTTTTCATCAGTCGTATCATCAAACACATACCGAATCAGATATGAAACTTCGTTGACTGTAGGGTGAATATTTTTGATAATGGACAAATGTCTCTGTGATGGTAATGTAAACATTGGAAATGGCAATCCACTTTATGTATAAATGATTAGGGGAGATTTATCAAGTTTGGAAAGAGTCCCTGTTATCAACTAATTAAAATAATCAGTGAAGTTGGTGCGCAATAATGATGCTGGATAGTAGTCGCACTCATAACAGGAGCTGTATGTAGTCAGAAAGCGTGGATTGTTTAATTATTGACGATATTGGGCCTGAAGGCTTTTGTCGTACTCTTCTTGTAGAGTCTCGAGTGTCTACCGATACGAAGCCTTGTAAAGTAGTATGCAACTGCTCTTCATTGCTTCTTATATTTTAGTGTTCATCAATAATCTTCATTTAAATGACGAATAATGTACAGAGAAATTCCTATAAGACCTATGCACTTCATTTGACATATTTCAATTATCTTCATCTCTTTTGATATAGTTAACATAAAGATGGGTGTATGAAAATAAGGTCCATATAGTTTTTCCTAATCAAAACTTCTTTGTCGTATGCAATTAGGATCGTACATTCTAACTAGTATTTATTAAATAAAAGTTGATTTTCCAATTTAATTTCTGCATTATTTTGTTTTTTGTTCTAAAAAGTAACCAGGTCATGATTTCTTCAAGCAGCAAACATTTTAAACGAAAATCGAATTATATTGAATTAACTGAAAAAGAAATTAACGATTTCATTGCTCACAGTGATGATGATGATAAAACTGATAGTAGTGAAAGTGATTGGGATGATATAGGCGAGACTGATTTATCAACTGTACTGTCAAGTTCAATAACTATAACAAAAGATAGTACTGTTAGCAAGTCATCTAATGAAACTACTAACTCATCTAGTCACAAAATAAACGGTGGTGGTGTTGGTATCAAAGGTAAGGTTATTTTTTTTCATTTGTTTAGACTAATACTTTAATAATACATACACATGAGGAATGTTACCTGACTAGATATATATTACGAAAATTAAGCTTTGTTTTTATCTTACCATTGGCCCTCCGAATGTTCATGTTTGAGTCGGGTGTAGGCAGCAACTACCAAAGACAAATGGGTGAGGTCGCGCAAAAATCCGTAGATCAATCAGAGTTAGACATTAACACCGTTGGATGCCGGCCCAGTGGTCCAATGGTTAGGCGTTCGCGCACAATACCGAAGGTCCCGGGTTCGAATCCTGAGGTGCAGGAGTCGTGGATGCGCACTGTTGATGAATCCCATACCAGGACGAAACGGCCGTCCAGTGCTTTCAGGTTTCTAAAGGTGGTCTAACAATGATTGATTGATGATTTCAAATGTGTAAAAACACAGAACCTCCAAAACTCTGCCCGAAAATATACAGAGAAGACTAATATTAGATGGTTGGTTATAAGTTTGAGTCCTACTTCACTTACTAAAGTTTATCCTTCAAATAATAAATATATTTTGAAGCAAAGTATAACTAATTGATTGGATTATCATGATTTCTATTGTTCTAACTGATGTAAAGCCACAGCTTGATGAAAACTGAAATATTTTGCATTGATGAGAGGAATTTAAATAGTTTTACCAACTAGCTTGTTGTGAAAGCATCTATTTACTTTATGAAAGCTTCATTGAAATTATAAACTGATCTGTTGGACCACCATAAAAAATTCGGAAGCGCTGAATAGAGGCTTCGTCGTGACATGAAT